TACTTTGATTAGATCTAGCTTAATTTCTTTTGTTTTATAAGAGTCTGCAATTTGATTGATTATGCTATGATTTTTTGCTTTGAAGTTACTTCTTAGCTTTGAAAGGCCTTTAAAGTTATGGATTCCTTCGATTGCTACCTTGCTATCTGAGAATATTTTAACAGTTACTCCAAAAGGTACTACTAAAAGCATTGACCAGATCACACCTAGTTTTGCACATGTAGACAAGGGCCATTCTGCTATACTACTACTAAAACCAATACTAGATTCTATCCTACTATCATCTGCTATTACTCAACTGATACCTATCTTTTTAATTTTTCTCCCTTTCAAGTTTTCTACTACTAGTGAGCTATCTGTATATATATCTAGCTTCTCCTTTTCTTTGAGTAATCTTGCTATTCTACAGAGCTCTTTTTGTAATTTATTATCTTTAATTACTCTATGTATAACTGCTTCCTCTATTTCCATAATACTAACTACTATATCTTTGCTATTATCTATTACTTTAGTATTAACTACTTCTCTATTATCTTTATAAGTTGAAATTAGTATAATAGTAAAGATGAGCTCATTATCTCTATGAATCTTATTAAGTATCTGGTACTATTCTGCGTACTTAAGTCTGATCAAACAGCTTATATTATTTTGTTTCCCTAACTTGCAGCTTTTGCACATGATTATTGATGTAGAAATTCTCGAGTTATCATTTTCTTCTATTTTCTAATGCTCTACTATAAAGTACTTAGACTCTTTTTTTTAACTCTTCCACATTCAGATTTTCTTTCTTTCTCAAATATTACCTATTCTTTTTTTCTTTTATCTACAAATACTCTCAGTTCTTTGCATCTTATTGCTGAAACGTTTGGCAAATCTATCTGTAACTCTGTTTTCAGAACTCTTGAGCTGCTATCTTTAAGAACTTTTGTCTTCAAATCTTTGTACCAGTTTGGTTTTCATCTTCTTCCCTTATACTCTCTAATAGTTTTGACTTATTGCCATATTAGCAGGATATTATTATTTCTTATGATTAGCTACTCTAATACAAAAATATTCATGTTATTGCTATTTCTGTAGTTGATTACTTCTTTTCTCTCTAGTATATTCAATAAACTTATACCTTTTAGATTTAGACTAGTTTTATAAAAACTGCTTTTCTGAAAACTAAAATCTAGTTTTTTTGCTTCTGCTATCACTTTAAAGGCTAAGTTATATCTGAGCACTATATTGTCTAACTTTACCTCACTGCTAGTTATATTACTCAAACAAGTACTTTTGTGTTGTTCTGAGTCTTGTAGTAATTTCTAGCTCATCTTGCCTATTCATATGTATTGTTAGTTCTGTAATATAGTATGCTAACTGATTCTGCCAAATTGTATGTATTTCTAATATTTTTAAATAACTATATATGCTGTTTGGAGCTGATTTTACTAGACCTAATTTGTTTTTAATTAGTATTCAAATAGGTCTTTAAATATGCTTGCACATATTTTTGAAGAGGAATGAGGTTTGAAACCTGTATTCAATACTCGGTAATAGAATACTATTATTTAAATAAACCAACTAGCTTACTAAAGCTTTTTTTTACAGAATAGCTTTGCACATCTTTGCAACTTCTTTTGAGATGATTAGTTCATTGTATTTTTTTTTACCTTTTTCAGATATCCATACTCTGAGGTATCTTATTGCTTCTTTTTCTTTTTTTGCTCATACTATATCTTTGTTTTTGCCTTGACTTATTTTGGGTATATAATTTGCTTTCTTTCCTTTGTCTTTAAGATTCAATACTAGCATCTCTGATTTTTTTTATTAATTTCAATATCATTAAGTTCATAAAACTCTGTTGAGATATCAATAATTTTTTGTAACTCTTCTTTTGATCTTACTATTCAGATTGTATCATCTACATAAGCTAATACTTCCTGCTGCTAATATGATACTTGAGTTCTGTTTGAGCTTAGATTAGAAAGCTATTCTGATTTTATAATATAACCTATATTTTCTTTCTTATGGATTAAGCATAGTAGAGGATCATAAAAAATATACCACATTAGCAGTAAAACTACTTCTCCTTGATCAAGACTATCTTCTGCTACAAATTCTTGAGTCAGTCTGTATTTTGTAATAACTTTAATTCTTCTTTTATTGTATAGGCTAAGGAGAAAACTTATTGTTTGTTCTGGAAGTTTGATTCTTCTTAGTGCTTTTTCTATCATTTCTAAAATATATCATATATATTATATTTATGCAATATATAGATTAAATACTATATATAAGATATATAGTATATCTGCTATAAATATAATAAATTGTATATAAATTTTATATTATAAATAAAGACTATGTTAGTCTATAGAAAATGATAACTCCTAAGTTTGTTTTTATAAATAATAGAGTTATTTATTAAATAATTCTTACTACCTAACTTATATAAGCTACTATTAATAGAAATCAAGCTGATCTATATTTGAAAAAAATTAATATTCTAACTTTCAAAGCTTATATCTCAATAAATTTTAAAGCTATCTTAATTATTTAATATTTAAAAGGAAGTATACAATCTAAGCTTTCTTTTGAATACTAAATAATTAAGATAGCTTTAAAATTTATTGAGATATAAGTTGTAAAAATTAAGGTATTAATTTTTTTTTAAATATAGATCTGCTTAATTTCTATTGATAGCAGCTCATATTTTCTTTAAATATTCCTTTCTCTAATATTTTACTAAATAGTATAGTAAAATTATCTTTGTGAAGTTTGTAGATTAATTTATAATTACTATACACTCTCAAAGTGATAATTAAGCTATTCTTTAGTAGTAGAAAAGGCAATCTAAGTTTTAGAATATTTATCTGCTAAATCTAATTATCTTTTTTGATATAGTCATCTAGTTGCTGATTAATTAAAAGATCAGTTTGGTCTATAACTAAACTGCTTGTTTATAATAATAATTTTATTAATAATCTTAAAATTTTGAAAAAATATATTAGTTCTAGAATATTTCTTAAATTATAAGCTAATATAAACAAATTTGTCTATTTATTCAATTCTGATTTACTTTTTTAAAATGCAAATATATTTATAAATAATAAAATTTGAAAATAAAAATTATCTTTTTGTAGTATATGTTTTTATATTATAAGAAAAAATTTAGAGTTAGATATAAACTAAAAATAGTGAATTTTATAAAAAAAATTTTTGCAAAAATTTTATTAATATTTTAAGACAAACTTGTTTAATTTAAGTTTTAGATATAATTTATTAAACAATTTAATAGAACTTTTAAAGGATTATAACTTTAATTATTATAACTTTTGTGATTTATTTGTAAAAATTTAAACTTGTATTAAAAGTAATAAATTATTTTTTAGCTTTATTTATATATATAATTTAAAAATTAAACTAAAAATTTTATAGTAAAAATTTTATAGTAAAAATTTTTAAAGCAAAACTTTAAAGATTTATTACTCAAAAATTTTATAATAATTTTAAAAAACTTTCTTAATAAAGTTGTTAAAATAAATATTATAAAATATATTTTATTTAGAAAATATATATTTAAAATTAATATTTAAAATTTTATTTAAAAATTACAAATATAAAGATAATTAAAAATAAGAAGTAAAAGAAAGCATATAGAAAGAAAAACAAAGTAGTTCAAAATACTAGAAAATAAATTACTAAAAAATAAAAAATTAAGAAAAATATAAAGAGAAAAATAATTTTTGAGTTTGAGTAAAAAAAGAAATAATTTTATATAATAGAAGAAAAAAGAAATAGATACTTATAAAAAAAAAAATCATAAAAGTAAAATAGAACATATTACAAAAAAGAAAAAGAAATTAATAGAAATAGAAATATAAAAAGAAGACTAGAAAAATAAAGTAGAGTTAAATACTTTATAAAAAGAATATATAGAAAGATACATGCTAAAAAAAAAGATCTTAGAAAAAAAATAATATTAAAAGAAGTATAGAATATTTCAAGATATGTTTATAAAAAAAACAATATATCATAGTTGATATTTAATAAAGATTTGTTAAAAAAAATAAAAAAAAAGATAAAGATATAAGATTAAAAATTTTAAAAGTTCAAAAACTTAGAATGAATAGAGGTAGAAAGTAGCTAGAGAACAGAGTTAATTAATCAAATTATAGAGAATATAGAAACAAAAAAGAAATCAAAGATAGAATAAAAGCAAACAAAAATAAAAAGAAGATAATTTTTTATACAGATAGCTTACTTGGTAGAATATAAGATAGTAAAAAAGCTATAATAAAATATAGTATAATACAAATAGATAGTGCAAATAATATAGTATTTAGTTATAAGAGATGAATTAAAAATTGGCTATTATCTATTTGAACAGAATTATTTTATAATTACTAGAATAGCATATCCAGATTATACATACTTATCCAATTCACATTCCCAATTATTGTATTTGTAAAACCTTAATACACATTTTTTTACAATTATTAAATTTAGAATATCTAAGTTGCTTTTAAGTTTGAACTATATTTGGAATTCTATTTCAACTTAAATGAATTATAAATATAATTTTTCCTGAATACGACATATGGGGAACCCAACAGCAAAAAGAAGCAGTAAGCCATTTTAAAATTTGATTTTAAATAGATATATCTCATGATCTAATAATCAAAATCAAATATTTTTTATACCATTGGATTCAACTTATTGAGATGAATCTAATAATATAAAAATTATCAAATTTTAAAATAGCTCATTACTACTTTTTGTTGTGAAGGTTCCTATATATACTGTATATACACTAACTCTGATTCTTGATATCATATACTGTAAAGTTTATTTCGACAAAATCATTTTTTTTTTTTTATTTTCACTAGGATCACATATGAGTATTTTATAGTTATGACATTAAAAAAAATATTACTATAAACAAAGAAAATTCATTGATAGGTATTTAACTATGATTTTTTACTTTGAAATTATTAGCTTAATTTTCTAGCAAATAATATCTAAGTTTTTACAATGGTACTGATAACTTCAGCAACAGGAATAGGAGTGAAACTAAATTTATCGTTATGTAAATTTTTGATGTCTGAATTAACAGTTAAATAGGCAGCAAAATCATCCATGATTGTAGGAACTGGTGCGGTATTATTTTTAAATCTTTGTCTGATGGTAAAATCTTCGGAAACTTCCCATTTGGTGCCTAAATATATGTAAGAATATTAATTGAAGCTTAAACATGTGCACTTTTATTAAGATGGAAACTTACCAGTAATTTCTTCATACTTTTTGAGCAATTCATTCAGTGTTAAGACAGAGCCTGCAACTCTGATAGTACCATTACGGGCTTCAGGCAACTTAAGAGACTCAACAGTATATTTTCCAATATCGGACAAGGCAGTGGTGGCTATCTTTGTGTTACTATCCGCGTAGAACGTAGCTTTCTTATTTTTATGATCGAATCCTAAAATACCAATATATTCTTGGAATAAACCGGTAACAATAATAGTGTATTCAATTCCACTTTTTTCTAATTCTTGAAGGAATGCAAGTTTGGAAGCGTGAAATAAATGGACATCACTTTATTGTCAAAAGAAGAAACCAATTTTTAAATTAATAATTTAGAACCGACGATATAATAAATAATATTGTAAACAATAAAAATGTACTTTATCGTTTTAATATCACAACCAAATTCAGATGGGATGAATCTTTTTACACCAGCTTCTTTAGCAGCAATTAAAAGAGTACGTTGAGTGGCTTCAAGTTCGTTACCGCCAATAGCGCTGACAATAACATCAGTTCCTTTAAGAGTTTTGGCAAGATCATTTTTATCATTGTAGTCCACGTAAATAACTTCAGCACCTTTGGAAGCCAATAAACTGGCATTCTTATTTTCAGATTTTGGCTTCTTTCGAAGAATCTTAATCTTATAAGAACCATTATTCAAAAAAGCATCAGTTATATGGTAACCTAAACTACCAGTTGCACCGGCAATAGTTACAACTTTGAATGTTGAGTTGCTCATTATGATTTGAATGTATTTACTTTATTTGTTTTGTTACTGATGTTTGTTATGTGGAAGGTCCTTTCATTAGCTTCATTTTTATACTTTTTCGTTCAAGAAAATTTTAGAGATAATTTTTATTACAAAGCTATCTGTCTATTCAATATACGATCGGATAATCTATATTAATCATCTGAATTAACTGTATTAGACTAAGTTCATGGTTACAAGTCTGATAATAAGGTTTATTTTTCGAGAAACTAATAAAATAAGAAACTACATTTTTTCCTAATAAAGTGATTTTTCCGTCATTCGCTAAAATTTATTCTCTGACAGCCAATCCTATAAATATTTTGTATTCTAGTCCATTAAAGAAAAGCACATTACCTGTAACTTCTCCTGACCCTTAACCTAACCTTAGACATGATCATAATCTTAATTTTTAATCTTAACGTTAACTTTAGTCATATCTTTAATCTCAGAAATTAATTTAATTCATGCAAAATGACGTAAAACAAATCCATAATCTTTATCAAAATTTATTTATGGATAGGGATTGGTCCGCGCGTTAATAGTGGAATAAAAAGTATACGTAATGTATATGTTGTGCCTCGGATTAATACTTGCATCAAATTAAAACCATTAGCGTTAGCGTTAGGCCAGCATTAAAATGATCTACAATAATCGGTCTTGCTATATCCTAGTCCTTACCATAAACCCTAATTCTAATTTAGGCCAATTTTAATCTGAAACACGACAGAGGTTATCGGACGTAAATGACAAAAGACGCTACTAGTTATTCATTTCATGTTGCCAATTGTAAAACAACCTCTTCATTATTTCCAATAAAAGAAATAACTCCCGATATTTAAATCAATGATACGTATTTACTTTTAATTCCGAACATGGATATACCGACTTGCATATACCATGTGTACAACACTAACTCGAAGCTAAATTATTTATTTACCCGAGTAACCAATAATACACGGGTATCATTACTAATTAATAATGTCATTGAAAAATATCAATATCGAAAATTCTATAATAATTATTTGTAAATTAATTATTTTGCCAAAATATTTAGAATGATAGATTTTTAAAAGTCAATTTTTACATAGCAATAGTTGCTGCCCGTAATGCTCTAAAACGGAATAGTTTTTTAATTTAACGTTTATTTAACAATAGGGTTAGGGCCATTTTCAGGTAAAATTGCCTTCCCGGGTTAAGTCAAAATTTTACAAAAAACTGCTCCGCTTTAACCGACCCTGGCATGGTCGAATTATATAAAAAAAGTTTACATAAATGTTTTTGTGGTTACACTAGAGGGTTCGAAATACAAGATAGAGGTCATCGAATTGTACTTTAGCCCTTTTCCAAGGCATACATTGTACACGTGATTTTCTTATAACTTTTGATTTACCGTAAATTCTGAAATGCTAAGCCCTGTAAGTTATATCTGGGGCAGTTTGAGAATTAAATTTTGATTTATATCCAGATATCCATATTATAAGTCCTTTGTTTTATAGAAAAACTTGTTGAAGTAAAAAATTGAAGACTGGCAAAGTTCAGTGAGAAATGTACATCGGGTACATCTCTAGTCTTTGTAAATACCCAGATACATGTTGTAATTGTAGCCAAGGATATTAATCAGGAATTCTTATCGTCAAGTTTGAAATACAGAATTTGAATTGCAAGAAAATTATGGAACTGAGGATTAGTAATTTACACGTGAGAAATTGCCAGAAATCTAAGTTATGAAATTTTTAAGAGAAAAAATTAAATGAAGTGAAAGGTAATTTTCGTAATGCAACCCTCTTAAATTTGTAAGTAAGCGCTGCCAAGGGAAACTTGACTTCAGGCTTTGAAATTTATCATTTATCGGACTAAAAATATCAGATTTTATAGTGATTGAGTCCGAACAGGAAAGCCGAAGTCTGGTTTTTCCCTTGACAATATTATAAGTTCATACTTGATACGGCATTACGGCAAAATTGTAGTTCGGTGCTGTAATTCCATTTTTTTGAAAAGCAATTATAGCGTCAACTATATTTACACAAAACAATAAATACTTATAACAAAATATTTTCTTCTCTCGAAACAACAAATTCCCTCCTTC